CCCCAAAACCCCAAAACCCCAAAACCCCAAAACCCCAAAACCCCTGAAGGACTAACTAGATTGAAACTGGAATATTGAAAAATTATCGAGATATACTAAGCAAAGAGGAAAAGAATTGTGGAATTTGCTACAAGTAAATTGTTACTTAATCACTTCTGTCTCTGCTATGGCTTCTCCTTCTTTTATGCTTCTTGTGCTTTTCCTTCCTATCCTTCTTTTCCTTTCTTCTATGCTTTCTCTTCTTTCTATCTCTTCTATCACTTGATCTATCCGATCTGTCTGATCTTTCAGATCTCCTATAAATATTATATTAGTTTAATCCAATTTTGGAAATACAATCAAATTTAAGAGAGAAAAATTCAATTTCCAAGAAAGATAATTCATATCTGCGAAAACGTCTGAAATCTTGAGACTAATACAAATTCAAATAACCATACTCTTTCTTATCTCCATTACTACCACTCTCATCACGATCATCACGCTCCAGCTCTCTTAATCTTTCATTTTCTTCTTCAATCATCCTTCTTCTCTTTTTCTCTTCTCTTCTTCTCTCCTTCTTTTTCTCTTGCATCTCAGCTAGTCTCTCTAATCTCTTCATCTCCTGTAATTCAATATCAAAGGCTGCTCCTTGCTCGAACTTGTTATCATCGATGTTAAAAGCATTAGCAATCTTGTTCATAGCCTTCTCTTTCTCAAGCTTGGCAAGGTGAGTGTCTACCTTCTCGACGAGCATCCTGGACTTTGCCTTGGATTTATCCAAGCCTTTATTCTTAATGAAGCGACGGTTTGCTTCTCTCCTACGAGCTTCATGATCGAGGATAGCTCGATTAGCTGGCTTTGGAGGAGGGAGAGGGTTCTCCCTCATCTTCTTCAGCTGTTCAACGTAATCGTTCTTCTGTGATCTTTTTTGTTGGGCATATGCTAAACTCTTCTGAACATATCCAGAGGTACCAGAACCTCTTGCTGTTTGAAGCCCCACTCCGTTATACATCTTTGCTTTAAAATATTATAAAATTGTCAATTATTCAAAACAATTAGGGGTTTTGGGGTTTTGGGGTTTTGGGGTTTTGGGG